CAGACCTTAAAAATATCCTATGATACCTTGTTCCACTAGTCTTGCCTCAACATACACCGAGAGGGACATTTATTTTGTTGAACACCACAGTTGTCATAAATTAAATCTAATTGAATTTGCATTTTTACATTGATTTTGTTGAGACAAGCAGAGAACTTTTCTTTTTCCTTTATTGACTTATTTATAGCTAAAGCCAAGTATTTTGTGCAATCTTTGCCTCAATGTCGGCTGCAAATTATGTACAGTTTAGGTTAACCTTCTTCATAATTTATTTTTGGGTCAATTGATAGGTAGTCACAAGCTAATTTTTAATTAGAATTGACAAAGCAAGAACTTTACGTATGTATGACATTAGTCTAATTCTAATATTACATTACAATATATAAAATATTAAATCAATGCACAACTGCGTATTAGTCTAAGAAACACCCATACACTGAACAACAGATTTTGCGTATGAAAATTTGAGGTCAATTTTTCATTGATTAGAGAGTTGAACCCTATCGATTCATCCTTCGTGTGTCAGTGGGGAGGGCTTGTAAAGTTTTTTATGAGAAATTTTCTATTCACATCACATCATAGGATGAAACTAAATTCTTATTCAAATTGCAAATTGCACTGTTGTTACCTTTTGGTTTTTCAAACAAACTAGTTGAAACGATTTAGTCTGTCTCACATTAAATGAGATCTACTACTTACAAAAGATTTTCTGGTTTATCACTAAATATTTTTGCATTTAACTGTAAGATTTGTTGTCTTCGTATCTTTAGGGAAAACTCAGCATACTAATGTGTACATTTTAGGGTTATGTTGTCCATGTCTTGTCGTAGTCTTTACATTAAATTTACACTTTCATGAGCTGGAAATAAGAAAATTGGGTTTAAGGAAGTTTAATTTCAAGTTCTTAAGCTTATGTGTTACAGTGTATCAATGCATCTTGAAGATTACCTGTTTCATCTTCAGAAATTTAACATCACTTCTTCTTGCCAACTCCAATTTAGTGTTTCTTTTCTTTTATAGTATTTATCACAACTCGTCAAATTCTTCATAGTAACTAGTTGGGAAAGATACAGTTTGTTAAAAAATGAAACTTGTTGCCCAAAATCAACTTTTGGTTCTTACTGTGATCCATCGATTATATGTGTTTTGTCCAGTTCTATTTTCCTCTTGTTACAATAACATTCCTTTATTTTTATTAGGTTTTTTAAACAAAGTGAACATTGTACTGATTTATATTTACTTGTTTCGAACGTATTGTGTATGTGAACAATTGACATCAGTACTTTAATATCTGTTAACTTTTCAATTTTCGTTGTACATTCTTGACAAACCTTGACTAGTTTTTCATTTTGTAAGTACGCGATTTGGTAATCAATAGATATACATGAATTGAGAGATATATTGTTGAAAAATCTTACACCCATGATAACTTATCAACAATGCTTTGCAACAAATATGTTTCCAAGACTAC